GGGGCGGTGTCGTGGAAAGGGGGCTGCGGAGGGGGAGGGGAGGGGGGGAGGCGTTGCGCAACGGTAATTGTGTGAAGTCCTTGCTCTTAAGTGGTTACATAATCCATGAATCTACTAATTTTCCTCTTAGAATCAGGCGGGTCGATAAATTGACCGCGGTGTTGCTAGGAGCTCGTCATAAAGTAATGTGCGCCCTTGTTCGATTTTTGCAGATAATGCGTAATTATGGCGTCCTTTCTTGTACGTTTTTCTGAATTGATGCTTATTCGATTTTTATCGGAATATTGTTGACAAAACCATTGTGAAAAGCAAATCCATCTGCCCCGCTCAACTATAGTTAGATTTTGACCCCTTTTCGAGCATGAATGATATGAAATGTAAACAACTCTGATAGGCGAAACGGAGTAAAAACGGCAACTTCTAGCTCACTTCAAGCTTGTTTACATAAAGCTAGCTGCTATCGTCTGTTGATTTTTCAGTTTTACCCTTGGATTGACTTAAAAAATCCGTTTTTATTGTGTTTTAGAGCTTTTAAAAGATCAATGAACCTTCCCCTAGATCTCTCAGAGAGGACTCCTTACCAAGAGGCCACCGAGGCGGTCTATGTGCATGTGTGTAAATGTGTGTTGGTGTATTTGTATGTGTGTGTATATATGTGTGTGTGTGTGTGTGTGTGTGTGTGTGTGTGTGTGTGTGTGTGTGTGTGTGTGTTCTCTCGTGCGTGTTTTGTGCTATTGCAAACATATAATCAGGTTGCGTAAACACAGCACGTAAGCCGACTCGCGACCTTCCGAGCGCGTGGTTTCGGTGAAATGGGGATAATTCAGATCTCTATTTCTTTGCTCTTTTGCTATAAGACACGAAATGCTGAACACTTTGAAAAAGTTCATAATATTTTTTTCGTTATAATTGTGTAAGTTGTTTGTATATCCGGGTATTTGGAGCTGAAGAATCGCCGTGGAAAGGGAAGCCCCTCGCGGTCGGAATGCGAGGCCCCCCGGTTCAAAATTGACACCCATGCATTCGAATGCTTTGCAGAAAGGCAGAAAGATTGATGATTAAATACATGTACCGTCTTTTCATTGGCGGGGAATAATACAGCTTTGAGCGTGGTTTCCCATGGTTATTATTGTTGGCTTTTGGCGTTTAGATAGAAAACCTTGAAAAAAAGGGTCTACATTTTCAAAGATCATTTTTAACACGAAATGTGTAAAATACTGGCGAAAAAAGGTACCTATAGAAAGAACGATTCTTTTTGTATTAGAATAATATCATCCGCTAGAGATTATTTTGGATGAATCCTTCTGCGAAACTACCGGCCGGGAGCACTCAGTATAATTATAGTATTGAGCTGGCTCGCTTGCCGCGAAGGCTGGTGCGACACCGGCCGAGACAACGCTCGGTGTTGTTTTTAATTGAAATTACGACAGATCATCGTGTTTGAGGCAATAAAATACTGATTTGTAATGATCTCACAGTTTTGAAAAATATTGGGCTTCATTTCTATGTTATAGTGATTGTACTCTTTTAATGTAGAGATGTTTGGTGTACTTGATTCTCTTTTACTATCTGTCAAACATGGGGTTGCAGCCAGTTATCGAGTTCAGCAATATTTTTTTGTTATATGTTAAATTGAAACAGCTGCCATTCTCTTAAACATTGACTGGGAGGTAAAGGCATGATACCAAAATTCTCAGGAGACATAGGCCTTTCATATGAAACAGATGAATGTGACATACAGCTACTTTGAAAATTTAGTGTCTGGTACCTAGTATAATGCTAATATTTTTTGTTACATTTGACGTGAAGCCCATTCTCGTTAAAATTTTGTTCGGCCCATAAGTTTTTTCTCTGTGAATGAATAGTTTTCTACTTTTGTATGTTACCTTGTAGAGGCACAACCAAGATAACTGCTAAATTTCAAGTCTATATCTCAATTCTAAGACCCCCATTGCTATGGAAACATGTTGCTCAACTTCGGAAGCCATTTTCTCCTTTTCGTGTTTCCTCACCTCGAACAATTAAAAGTTCTGTATTTTCGTCAAATGTTGTCATATTTACTTCATTCTTGTTTTAAATTGTAGGGAAAAGGTGATGGTTTTTTAAAATAATGCTAACTCAGTTTTGAAATTTCCTTCATATGACTGATAATGGCCCGCGACGAACGTGAACTTTATTCCTATATATGGGGATGACATTATTTAAGTACCTCGGTCTTTCTGCTGGGTGTGGACTATTCCTCCGAGTCTGGCCTGACCTTGGAAGACAGGGTCGAACCCACCTGCCTCTCTAATGATCAAAACTGGGACGATGGGAGCGTAAAACATACGCAATCAATCGATTTGCTAGAAAAAGTGAGCTCTTTTTCTGGATCAGTTGCATATCATTATTAATTTTAATTGTCGAGGTGCTGATGGGTGCAGCTACGATGCCCAAATTATGAAGCTGATCCTGCAGCTCCCCAATCTCGGAAGAAGCTAGCAAGACTTATCATTACCAATCACGACATCAAACAGATACAAAAACTTGAAC